TAGTATGAGTCGTACATCCCATACACCCAGAATGGCCAAAATGCTCTTGGGACCATACGGAATCGGCTTAAATCAGTATTCGTCCGGAAACTTGCCAACCTATTTTGCTTCTGACATTTCCCTCGTGAAACAGGAGTCTTACAAATTGCCGATTGCCCGTCTTCTTTTTCGCCGTCTTGGCCAGAAGTTGAACAACCAACGGACCTAAAACTGCATGGATTAGACCCACTAGATTGGATATCAGATGTGCTGACTACTTGATCATCATCATCATCACTACTCGTCCGGTCCTCCATTATTGAGTCAATTGCTGAATAGTGAAGTTTTTTTTCTGACGGAGAAAGAGCACTTTCAAAACTTTCTTCAGAATTTGTTACAGACAGTGCATCCGTATCTCTAAGAGGTGTAGATAAAGACATTGCACTCAAGTGAGAGTGACCTCTCAAGTTGCTTAGCGGAACAAGTTTCCCAAACGCATCCCTAGGAGTCCTCAAGGGCACATCTTCCTCAACAATTTCAACCTCTCCACAAGGCTGCAAGAAGGATTAATGAGAAATAAGCTTTTTTTCTTTTGATAAACAATGATAAATTAGCTTCTTCACACTAAACAAAGATGTATTCCCCAATTTTACTAACAACGGGGCGGTGTGTCTATGTAAATGTATGAGAGAATGTCCTTACGAATCCTTCCACGTCAGTCCAGCGACGCTTTAAACGGAACCGTTGTTGTCCACGAGTAATAACATTGAATGAACCATCCCCAAGTCGACGATACTGTCGTATCTGTGATTATCACCCAGAATACTAAGTTACAAAGCCAGAACTAGTTGATCAAAATTATTCTAACAGATTAAATATAAAAACAGCCATGCCATTTCCCAACTTCCTACATCGAGACCCCTGTCTCACGCATAGCTACAGAAACATTGCGCAAAGAATTGAATGTCCACAGTTTTAGGCAAGGATGCCAATTGTAAAATGTATTTGTTTCTTTAGATTTGCTAGTGCTACCACTAATCATATCTGATTCAACAATTCCAAATACAAAAATCCAGTAGAAAACAGTTTGATACCCTTATAATTTCTTTCTTGGAGATGTGTTTTCAATTGGCAGATGTTCTAAGAGGTCTAAAATGCTGTAATCTAATTAATGCTATATAAAAATGAATCCAAATTTACGATAGTGAATCAACTTTGTAAGAGCCATTTGAACTTTCTTAAGATGAAACTAAGCAACAAATAGTTTGGAAACAGAAACCTGAAAGACATAACTTCATCTAACAATCAATTGGAAAAAAGGAAACAAGAAAATATACAAAGGTTACCTCTGCAGTTGTCCCCACGCTGGCATACTTGAACTGAGCACCTTCTCTGTAAACACGAATCTAAAGATAACAGGATAAATTTTAGATGTCTAAATTTTTTTGCAAGAGAAGTCAAAACAAGCAAAGCAAAAGATTAAACCACCTACCACACCTATGGTACATGGAGCAGTAGCTTGGTTCAAAGCTCTCTCAACAGCAGCCAAGAAACTAGACTGAATAATTCGAAGGGGAAGTGTGGCCTCTGGAAATAGAACCACTCCTGAAGTATTGCAAAGCAACAGATTCAGTATCTTACATACATGTCTGGGTACAAAACACGAATGTGTTTTTCAATAGAAATGATACGTCTTGTCTATCTGAAGAAGAAACATGGTGTGCTCGTTCAATTCCAAGTAAGCCAGCGAACATGCATCTAACTTCTAAAACTAAAGGTACAGATGTAATCACTAATAGGAGAAGGCTTTCATGACGCCATATATTATGAATACCTTCAAGATAGAAAAGTGGGAGCTTCAAAACAGTGCCACCATCGACAAAAGCAATTCTGTTCTGAGTATCCTCAACCTCTGGTAAAGAAATAAAACAAAAATAAGCTCAAAATGTGTCAAGTATAAGAAAACACACACCTGGATTGAAAAAAAAAGGCACAAGACGGGAATGAATCCATACCGCCAAGATAGGTATGTAAAGAAGCCAAAGTTGGGTTGAAAATAAGTTCATCAGCACCAAGACTATCACTGTCAATCACCATGTAAAAGGTCAGAGAATACAAACAAAAGCTTCATTCTATAATCATCAAACCTCAGGTAATAGCAATACTGTACATTATCTTAAGGGCATATTTGCAACTATCAAACATCACGAACCCTAAGTAAGCAAACAAAAACTGTAAAATCAAACTAGTGATACGTTCTCAATCCCCCCCCCCCCCGGCACAGTT